CCCCTGAAAAAAAAAATAAAAAAAAATTGAGCGCATCACTAATTTGTGCCATGGCGCATGGCGCACATGCGCACCGCACCGCGCACCGCAAAAGTGCGCCGCAAGTATGAGAATTTCTGAAGTTTAAACTTGTCTTTCCTCGTCAACCTTTTTTTTTTTTTTTCCTTTCTTTCTTTCTAACCATTGGAAAGAGCTCCAGCAGCCTTTAGTACTCATAGCACCTTGATTGACATTGAAAAAGTAATATTATAATAATTTAATAAAATTAATAAATGTTAAAGTTAAATTCAAATCACCAGTACCTCCAAGCCTCTTTTTCCCAAAGTAGATCTGCACTGCACGTGTGTGGTGTGTGGGAGAGTGTTGGCCATAGCCTCTGCTGCTACTCGATGAAGGGTGGGGGACGATGAGAAAGGGAGGCACAACTACTGGCAGTTCTCGGTCTGTGTTAGCCAGACCCCCACTGGCGGCCCCAACCCTATACCCTAACCATTAGGGGCAAGGGGCAACATGAAATCTCCCCTTCACAGAGAGAGGAAAAACTATGCTTGCAGGGGTCCCCTCTAGATAGTCTTAGGAGTAGGTAGTGGAAGGTAAAACAAACAGAAGTTGAGAGAAGAATATAGACAGTTGTGATCACCCCGATATTAAAAAAAAAAAAAAACAATAAATGATTCTCTTTGGAAAAAAAAAGAAAAAAAAAAAGGCACCAAAAGAAAAAAGAAAAAAAAAACACCAGTGGCTCATTTTCTTTTCTTTTTTTTCTGGTTCCACCGGTCATTTTGGTTTGGTAGCACTGTTCATCAGAAGAATGGTGAAAAATTGCAATGCCAAAAATTGACCTTTTCCAATGGTCAAATTCACTCCAAAATTGCAAATGTCAAAAATTGACCTGGGTCACTGGGTGAGCTTGGATATACGTTGGACTGGGAGAGGTAGTGGTGGTTTATTTATTTATAACTTTAAAGTTTAAACTTTAGTAAAGTTAAAAAATTAATGAACAGTATCACATAACTAGCAGGTCAATAATAAACATTACATCTAGGCTACCAGCCGGGCTGCCTGGGTCACCCTATTTTCCCGGACGGCCCGGCCGTGCAAGGAACAGGGAAGGTCTTAGAAAAAAAAAAAAAAACTGAAAAAAAAACTACGTTGTGCAGAACAATAAACTGAACAACTTTTGCCTCAGGGTCACATCGAAATTCTTTACCATATTTAAAATAAAAATAAAGTGAATTTTATTTTTATTTTATTATTATTTATTTTTTTGGCCCGGCCGGGCAAGTGGCCCCGGACCACTCTGGTAGCCTAGCATTACATGTGATTAAAAGTATCCCATAACTACAGGTCAATGTCGTTGACAGCACGATTCCACCCAAGGCTAAGCGTTCAATGTCCCCTGCGCATAAAGTGACAAACAATTTGAAATAAAGCAAATTGCTTGTTCGTTTGTGACTTCTTAAAAATGTTTATCCCCCTAACAAAAAATCCACTTCTCCGAAATGCTCAGAGCTTTCACTTTTCTCTGAATTCACTTCACTCATCACACATTCTCTCTCTCTCTCTCTCTCTCTCTCTCTCTCTCTCTCTCTCTCTCTCTCACACACACACACACACACACACACACACACGTGCGGGCGGGCGTATGTGCGCACGCACAAATTTGATGTCAATCGAATGTTCAGCACACAGTTTCACACCCACACAGACATGTTGAAAGTGTCCGGCAGGAAGAGCAGAAGCACATAATGCACAAAAATACATAACAGCATGCATGAGGTTTATGGTTCAATCTATCTGGACCTGGTAATACCATGCCCGGGTGCCGAGCACGTCCGAGTCAGAGTCTAAATCAAAGCATTTCTGGCCACCGGTGTAGTTGTAGAATATGCTAACACCCGCAAAAATTCTCGCAAGAAGATCTGAACCTCTTGGCGCATTGTCAATCCGCTTGCAGACCTGTTGATCCATATAATCGTAATTTCCATTTTCCAACAGACAGAATCGGCGATTACAAGCACAAGCTAGTAAGTCCGGGGGTTGACCAGATTCGAAGTACACAACGCAGTGACTCAATTCCTGTGCATGTACATATTTTAAAACATTGTGCACACACACAAAAAAAAGGATAGAAACCTAACTCTAAAAAATCATCTATACCTTTTTTTTTTCTTTTTTTTTTTGAAACAATCGTCGACATGGGATCACCTAGAGCAGAACGGGATAAGAGCCCCTGTGTGTTGAAGGGGCACCTGGTTTCATGGCTACTTTCTTATTCGTGACGAGCAATACGTGCTGTGAATCGGGCCCAGCGTCCCATAGTTGCATCTGGGAATCGGGCCCAGCATCCCACAGTTGCATCGGGAAGTGGTTGAGGTTATTGTACCATTATACGCTCAGTATTTCAGGAACAATTTTATTTTATTTTTTGTTAAAGAAACCTTCTTCTTTTTTTCTTTTTTTTTCTCAGGAACCATGTTTATATATGTCAGGGCAATCCCACAGAAGCATCAAAGTGGGGAGCTCCAGGGTCTCTGGCCTGGCACGGCAAAGTACCAAAAGGGACGGAAATTGTATATACCATGCCGTCTTTCCTATACTTGTTTCCAACTCTGGGAAGGCAAAGGACCAAAAGGACCAAAAGGACCAGAAGGGCCAAAAGGGCCAAAAGGGAGCTCCAGAGGCTGGCACAGTGAAGGCCTGAAAGGCCCGAAAGGGGAGCTTCAGAGGCTAGCTAGAGGCCTTCGTCAGCTCTCGCAAGATTAGAGCCTCGTGGGATAAGGTAAGGTACCCCAACTCAAGTTGCCTTATTGTATACACACGCATTGCCCGTCGCGGAAGTATCCGCGGCACACACCTGTCCCTCCTGCTCTCCCCGTCCCTCCACCACCTCCTTCTCCTACTACTACTCCTTCCCGTTCTCTGCCACCTCATCTCCATCCTGCTCCCCGATACCCCTCCTCCAAGGCCAATTTCTCCTCCTCTGCTACATTTTCCTCCCGCCCCTCCTCCCCTGTCACGCCCTTCTCCCCCTGTCACAGGTTGGTATCATGTGACCCGAGTGATACTAAGTGGGTCAGGTGGCACTATGTGGGGCAGGTCATACTATGTGGGACTGGGTGGTATCATGTGGCCCAGGTGATACTATGTAGGTCAGGTGGCGGTACGCAGGGCGGGTCGTAGTATAGTATGTGGACTGGATGGCACTATGTTGGCTGGCCATGTGTGGGCGATACTCCCCTCCACCCAAAAAAAAAAAAAAAAAAAAACACCATGTGGCTGAATGGTACACCCATCAACTCTTGATAGACAGATCGCGAGTTCGATTCCTGATACAAAACAACACTTAGGGCATATGCACACGAGTGATTTTTTCCTACCACGTTTTCGACTGGACAGCACTCCTCAAGGCCTGCTATGTTGGCTGGCCGGTTGTGGGTGATAATCGCCCTCCCACGCCCCCCGCCTTTTCCCC